CAGTGAGTGTCATTTGTTACAACTATAAAAGGTGTCTCATTTAGTGATAGGGAAACGGAGGCTCAGAGAGGTTACAACTTTAATTTAAAATTATTTAAATTTGTACAAAGTCAAGACAGCTGTAAGTGGCAGAACCCTAATCTGATGTCCATGTGACTCCAACGCCATGCTCTTCTGCTATACAGTAGAATTGCTTTCTACTGATTTCCATGAGAAATTGAGCATTCAATGTCTTTCCATTTTCAATAAACATGTGTAGAGCATCCTCAAGATCTTATGAGAATCAGCAAGGGAGCACGTAAATGTTATTTCTATGGCTACACTTTCATTTTAGGATCATGAAAACTGTATACATTCTGCTTCATTATCTGGAGAATGGGAAAGAATACAATACTACATGCTTTTTTGTATGATAAAGATATTGAAATAAATGCTTCTCAAGAAATCTGAGTTCCTACAGGAAAAGCTATTTTTTACAACTTATTTGTTTTTTTAATTGAAGTGCAGTCAGTTACAATGTGTCAACCTCTGGAGTACAGCACAATATCCCAGTCATGCAAATACAAGCATATATTCAAGAAAACTATTTTTAAAGAAGAAATATTATGTGTTTCCACTTCTACCACTGGCCAAGTAGCTCCCATCATACCAATCTATACACAGACAACTGTAAACCCAAGACAAAAACATTAAAAAGATCTGAAAGCATTGGAGAAAGACCACAAATAGGCCCAAACTAGAGTAGTGGGATCTAGACTTGAAAGAAGGGAATAAAATTAGGTGAGTTTCTGATTTTTTTCTTAATATGGCTTTTAGCCAGAGGATAAACTATACAGGATGCTTAAAATAAAATAGGATAGAAACGCTCAGTCTTATTGGCTGAATACAGAGTTCATATGGAGAACACAGGGCAGAATTTGGAGTGATCAGAGCTGCTGGAAAGTAATGAAAGAAAGAGCCAGCGAGGGAAAGCCTCAAATTCCAAGTACAAACTTCGCTTCTATCTCTTCCTGACATCTGAGGTATGTATCAGTGTGGCCGACTCCAAGCAGCCCAGACAAGGCTAAGATTACTGAACAGAGATTTCGGCAGCTATCTACCACAGAGGAGGGAGAACCTGGAGTTTTAACTCGG